TTGAAAATTTTAGTATCATGACAACCCTACTGCATACGCCTTATCAATGAGAAACTGGGATATCACCTATAAGATGAACCAGATGGAAGAATGCTTTAGTTCTCCGGTTGAACTTGTGTTTCACTGAAAAAGTAACTTCCTTTATTGTTCAGAAAAATGTTCTTTGGGCTACAACTTCTTTTGCAATAATCTAAAACCAAACTACCACAATTGGTCATAATTAGAGAAGTCCTTAAAACTTACCTTAGTATTGTTGCTTTCACATTCTGTTGGATGAAAACCAAACAATAGGACAGCAAATTAACATTTGATTTAGTTAAAAAAATAAAAAAATTCTAAGAAGGTATAACCGTGTAATTTGTCAGTTACCAGCATAAACGAGAGGTCATCTAATTTCATCTCATCTTCAAGGGTTTTGATTTTTTCCATGAGGTCAGAAATCTCTTCATTTAGGTTTACAAGCCTTAGGTTCATTGCGTCACTCTTAACCTTTGCTTCTTTCCGACATGCATCTATCCGCTCAGCCTCCTCCGCTCGTAAGAACCGGTAAAGTTTCTCGAACTCTCCTCTGATGGCCTTCTCTGTCCGCTGAGCCTGGAGCTGAGGAGTATATTAAGAAGAAAAGAAGAATATGATTTTGTTGCATCAATGTTTTTCTTGTACTGTTGTATTTTTAAAAATTTCATCTTACCTGGATGTAATTAGCCATTTTATCCCACTGCTGTTTTTTCCTCTCAAAAGTTCCACACTTACTTTTTAGATTAAGCAAATTGAGCTGGAATTTAGCCTGTAGAAAGTAACATGTGTTTACATATGATAACCACTGGATGTTTCAAAGCCAATAAAAGCATGTACTGATATTTTTTTCTTTTTTAAATATCTACTTACTCTGCACTCCTCTGCTGCTTCAGTAATGGGAATGCAGTTGTGTTTTTTGTGTGCTTTTGCATCCCGACAAACCAAACAGATGGGTTGTTGGTGATCCTGACAGAATAATTTAAACTTCTCACCGTGCAGGGAACAAAACTCCTTGGACCCAGCCTGCTTGTTCTTCTCCTGTCTCAAGGACTCAGACAGGTTTTTCAAAGCCAGATTTCTTGGTGGCTTAGACATCTGAAATATTTCTTTACAAACCGGACAAGTCCTCTGTGTGCTCTTTCTCCACCACTCCTTAAGACAATGCTGACAGAAGCTGTGACCACACAGCAGCAAAACAGGGTCATCAAATATATCACAGCACACAGGGCAGGTGCAGTCTGCCTCAGACTGCGGGATGTTTGAAGCCATTTTCTTCGTTTCTTTTCTTCTTTAGTTCGTTGATTTGCTCAGGCAGAATCTTTTACTTTTACATTCACTTCAGTCACTTCAACAAGGCTCTTAGAGTTAAAAGTAAACTATTTGAAATAAAACTCACACGACTTACCAGCTACACTTACAACTGCCCGAGTTAATGGATTATCCTCCTATTAGAAAAGTACAGAACCCAGATATTCAAGTTTGTTGCTGACTTCCTGCTATTTTTTCAAGTGGGTGGGAGGAGATGTTTTTTTTTCTTCTACTTCCTCTTCTTGTTTGAGCTTTTTGGCAGGCTGCAAACTAACTATGATTCATTACTGCCACCAACTGAACTGAAGGCTGGTTAAGGGTGTCCTTTTTGAAGTTCTTCTGCCCTTTTAGTAACTTCATACCATTGAGAAGCACCAATATATTCTCCTCCATGATTACAAAATTTGCTCTGAGTGCCTCTTTTGGATTTTCCATATTCATGTTTACCACCTAAACCTGTACACCTTTCAATATTGCAGTTTTATGAGCATATGGCTGACATTTGAAACATCTTCACTTCACTTCTCTGACTTTTGCTCCTCTCACCTTTTCATGAATTTCTTCAGATACTTTTGTTTTAACTGCAATTATCACTCCTTCAATCATTATTTTATTTTTGATCAGGCTGCAATAAACTTTGTTATCTGTGTTGTTGATCCTAAATATTTTACCTTGTTGGGTGCTATTTCTGACGTTATCCAAGAGAGCTTCATTATCTGGCTACCTTTGTGTAAAAGTATAGAGTTTAATATTTTGTTGCTGGACTTTAAGGTCTAGAACCATGTTACCCCCCATTAGTTACATAAGACTTCTTAGTCAGTGTTACCAGGACCAGAACCAAACACCGAGAGGCATACTCTAGTTTCTACAGTCCTGCAGCTCTGAAATCAACTCCTCCAAAAATCTGAAATGTGCAGAAAAGATTAAGTCCCATATACCAGGACTGAGAACATTTCACAGGACAAAAAGTGAAATAATAATTTAGCAGTAACTTTTTCAATGTTCAATCATTAATTTTTTCCTTTAAAAAGCTTTATATATTATGATTACATTTATTATTTATTATCATTGATTCTGTTATCTTTTCCAGTTTTTCTGTGGCTTTCAAGCACCCAGCAAATACATGGCGCAGTAAGAATGAACTTTGCTTGCCGTAGTAATGTAAATGTTGGTGTGTTGCATATCTGAAGTATACAAAGGCAGTTAAATAACACAGCTTTTGCAGTAAAAAGCAACATGTGCCTCAAACATTACTTAAAGGTTGAAATATGCAATAGACAGACCTTTTATCTTCTTTCATTGTCACATCTCAAGCCAAATCTCTTTCTGGGGTATATTTTCCCCATTAAAGTACAGCTCCCTCATACTTGGTTCTCAACAGTGAAATTCACAAGTGATTTGACTTTTGTAGCAAAGGCTATCAAAGGCTAAATGTTTTACCATGAAATCATATGGCCAATCCATGCACAGTATGTGAGTCAAATCTCCACATATTGTGCTATTTTTCTCCAATAAAATTTACTTTATAATTAAGTTTTGATCTTCTTGGTAATAAAAACAGTGCTTTTTAAGATAATTTCTCTTTAAAGTATCATTAGTATTTTAGTGCAAAGGTTGGCTGTCAGAGCAACAGGTTATCTGTAACTGTCACCATGTGAGCTCAGTTTCAAAACTTTTCTTTTTTCTTTCCTCTTTCAGCTTGATGTAATTATTACAGCTGGGAATAGCATGGCAGAGACAGTTGTTTCGTGTGACTGTTTCATTGCTTAAACACTGAATCCATAACTATAAAACATTCAGTGAACATAAAGCCAAGATTTCTGATTGTGGCCACATTCATTCTGCAGTAGTAAAACAGTCCTGGACCACAATTAGGAGAAGACAGCTGGAGGAGAGCTGGAGGCAGTCCTGAGCTGGGATCCAGACTGAGCGCAAAAGCCTTAACGCAGCTGATGGTAAACTAATTCTGCAGCCCTGATATCCCACCCCACCCCTCTCTCACATACAGACTCACAGGCTTCCGCACAAAGTTGGACAGCATCGCTCACAATTTTCTGTGCTTTTCACTTTCCCTCTAAGCTGCTCTCACACTCACTTGATCACAATCTCAATAAGTAAGACATCTGCTCCATCACCTGCCTGTAGGGACAATAGACTGGGAAGAGATTCAACAAAAAGTGTGATATATATCCCTCTGCAGGCTTTTTAAGAAACACACAGAAAACATTTTTCCACTTAACAAAAACCATCCGGGAAATCTCATGGTTCTCCACACACAAAGCTTTGAAATCTGTTTACCCTGTACCTCATTACATTTTGTCCTGTTACAACCTAAAACCTCAATGTATTTACAAAGATTTTGTGTAAAAGACCAACACATAGTACACTGTAAGCAGAACAAAGAAGATGAATAAATGTCCAGCTTGTTAAAAACTCAACTCTAAATGGGTAAACTATACATGTGTTTCTATTAAGGCCTTTTTACACTAAGATTCCTACATTTAATAAAGTCAAAACCATTAGATTCTAAAACACCTTATTAATAAAGAGAGTCAAAGCCACAGTATTAAAGAATGGTTTAGATCAAAGCTTAATCGTGATTAAGCATGGCCTAGTCAAAGTCAGAGCTGATAATTAATGGAAAGACAAATATTCCCCTTCCACTTTAGATGAGCTTCAGCTGCTTCCTCAAAGCTGCAAGAGATCTACCTACTGGAAGCTGTAAACTTAACAGAAATTCATCAACGTTCTCAGTCTAATATGAATATGAATTCATCATATAGAGTTAAAAATAAGGAAATTGTCTTGTTATGACTTGTTTGGGTCATTCTTTATGTGCCGAGTCCATCAGGACTGATTTTTGGAGAAAATTGAATAATAATTACACTAAAGTTTGAGGTTTTAATTTGACAACATTTCAAAAGTTGAAGGAGTTTGAATGCTTTTCCGAAAGACTATAAGCAGACAGTATGCCAAATAAGTGAATAAAGAAAACAGTACATCCTTTTGAGTCGTTGTTTTTTTCAATGTTTGTGCCACCTGTTAAAAAATAAGGGAGACTTAAGTGAATTAATAAAGGACATGTGGCAATGTCTACATGCCAAAGGACCTTGTTTTTCCACCTCTTTATTCAGTGTCATGTCTTGGTTTTAAAGTTACTGGAGCAGCGCCTTTGCAGCAGACCATTATTTGAGTTTACGATGCGTTAAACGTCTCCTTTGTTTCTCTTTTTGGCAGCTTGCTCTGGTAGTTACTAGAGAGGGCAAAGACCTGTAGCGAGCTCATTATCACCAAAGCCTGTGATGGTTTACACATTGCACCTCCTTCCTGATTAATCTATTGTTGAATTTTGCACTCTGGTAAGATCTGAAGTCCAATATTTTCCTGACTTAAACCCCTGTCCACAATAACATCTGGCAAACTCATTTCATATTGCAGGCACAGGAAGAGGTAAGGTATAGATTAACAGTAGTAATAATCATAAATCACATCTGAAATGCTGCCATGTCACATGCCACACTGCTCCACTAATGACCAGGCCCATCTTTCACTGGGTATTTTTATCTGTGTGCCCTGACACTCGACTTTTGGAATCGTCCTCTTGTTTTACGTCGTCAGCACCTCGACCAAGCCTGTGCACAAGTTCTTCACATATCTATAAATACCAGCCAGTTGAACGGTATTTTCTCCCACCCGCCCCCCTCTGCCTGGCAAAAGCAAGGAGCTCAGTGACTTGGCAAACAGATTTTATGCCCTTACGCCACTGATCATCTTGGGGCTTGTTCTGTCCAAACATACAGACCTCTGTTACAACCTCTGAAGAACAGCAGGTTAAAAAAAAAAAATAGCTGCATCTCTTTTTTATAAAACCCATCAAACATTAGAGCTTCTTTATGAACAAGGAAATTAACCTGCTGCTGCACTAATGTGGTCAAAGCATCAACGTATATCAGCTCGCACTTTCAAAAACATGTTAGAGAAATGTACAACACCTGTAAGTGGCTTCTCCGTTCAGAATGTCCTGCCAAGTTTTTTAGGCTTGCTGACATGAGGCACTAGTGACTGCGGGTCACCATCAGCTTCCTGCTATTTTGGGCTCGTCACAGCTTGAGGTTTCAATTTATTCGCCCAGAGTGTGTCAATCAATGAATGGCTGCTTTCAGGCCTGGAGGGGGGATCTGCTGTTGCTTCAGCAGGCTGAACCTTATTCTTCTTGGAGAAGAATCAGATACAAAACCACTCGGCCAACAGATTTCTCTTCACAAGATTTTTTTTTAGGGGTCATCAGATGGAGGCCACTAATGATCTTAGAGATTAATCTAAGAGGTAGGCTTATTGATGCAACCTACTATAATTAAACTTTAGGTCACTTAAAATCAATTACACATACACCTACTATCAAATAAGGTGGTCGGAGTATTAAGGTCTAGAGCAGGGGTAACCAATTAAAAATCAGCGGGTCCGAATAAAGAAAATCATCAACCAGTAAAGGTCCGGAGACATTTTTAATTATAATCCGTTACTTTAAACAGAATTTAACACTGAAATAAAATTTGGTTTTTATGCATCCATGCATACATTGAATTTAAAAAAAATTTAAATAAAAAACATTTTCCCATTTTAAAATCTAAATTGCTTTTGAAGTAGAGAACAGCAATCATTCAGTTTGGTGTATAGAAAATTTCCTGATTCACATATTTTATAAAACACCTTTTCTTTTTTATTGCTTAATGAGAGTGGTGGGCTTTAGGCTGCCCTGCAAGGCTTTAAACTTGGGTTTGAACGCAACAAAGCCATTCTCAAGCACAGGTGCTCATTTGTGAGCCTGGATCCGTATTTATGTTTGATTCTGTTCATGGGGAAAATCCTGCTTCACAGCAGCAGGTTGATCCAAACATACTCAAAATGTGCAAGGTCATCTTTGAGCACACTATTTCACTTCTTTTTTCACTAGTTCACCGCAATTCTTCCTGCAGTCCACGCTTTCTCTGCTTTCTTTTTCCCCTCACCCGGCTTGCCACAGGTTTGCCTGCTGTGTCTAAAAGTGGCTCGCAGAAGTGAACCAGACTGACACAGCTTTTTGGCTGATTTGTATCCCAGACCTCCAGAAGCTCTAACCCTAACCCTTTACCATATTAACAGGAGAAGCAGCGCATATGAAGTTACATAATTTCATCGGACAACATATGGTAATTTATAAATGTTTTAAATCATGTTGGATCTGGATTAGCCCGCAGGTGGGTCCGGATACGGACCCTGGTCTGTTAGTCTGTGACCACTGGTCTAAGGTCACTGAAGCCGCTTTACCACTGAAAATCCAGGTTTTTCAAAAACCTGTTGACAGCTAACAAATGGCATTTGGCTCTTTTCCCATTTTGACTGAAAAGCCAAGTCTGAACCCCTGCTGGCAAGCTGCGTGGCCACTGTCTCTGCATGTGTAATGAAGGCATCACGCTGGTTGAGCTTTGATGATGTCAGTAGTGCTCTTGAAATCAGGGAAGTAAATAATGGAGAGCAGCATGGACGGAAGCCAGAGCGTAGACAGTATTTTTTATTATTTCACTCTTTTGTCCTTCCGAATCCGTCTTACTAGCCCTGCTCCATGTTTATCGAACATAAACAGAGTTGTTTTGGATCAGAACCAACTGCCGCTGTGTGTTGATGTCTGTATGTTGTGCTCAATGGTGTCACATAATGTAGCGGGTCAGCCTGTCTCTGGTGTTCCCAAAGTATGCCGATCAGAGCCGAGGTGATTTTAACGGGAGTCGCTTGTCGAACCATTTGACCTGGGTAGACACGCGTCAGTGAGCTGTTCCCTCTGTCACTAAAAGCCAATTGCTCCTGGGTTCAAATGTTTTTTTTTTGACCAGTGGGAAAGGGGTATCAGTGATTCCAAACCTAAGTCACAACAAATAAGCAACTTGCAGCTACTGGAAGGTTATTCTCTTCTATGTTGAATTTAGGTTTATATTAAAAACAAATTTGAGATTGTGTTAAGTTAGGTTGTTCCTTTCTTGTTCATTTGTCAGTCCTAATAAATCCTGGTTTTGACCAGAGAAAACGTTTTTAAATGCTTTAAAATTCAAAGAAAACATATCTAAATACTCCATAAATAATCTTTACCAAAAAAAAAACTTCACATAAAAAATGTATTTTTAGTTGTTATTTCATGCATCAGTGATTTTCCATCCATTAATGATTACATACTTACATTTTATATAAATAGCAAAAAAAAAGGTAAAACATTTGGATTAAAAACTAATCCTAAATCAGATTATCACCAGTTTATATTTATTTTGTTATATATTTTAAAAAAAGAAATGGATCAATATCTGAACAATGGCCAATGGATTTGGATGTTTTCAACTATCCATTGGCCACATAGAAACTTCAGATAAACCGACATTGTACTTTAAATTTTGCAAGCTGAGTAATAACAGCTGGTTTCTCCAACTGTTTTATGTTTTAGCTTTAGATGTAATTACCCAGAGGTTATCAACTTAGTCTCCTCAGGGGTAAGAGTCTGCATAACGTTCTGAGACAATTTCTAAATGAACATGTGGTTCCCAAAAGGTGAACACATATAAAATGAATGTATCTCTGTACTGTAACTTCAAACAGGAACCACTAATATGGTTATAATGAAAGATGATAGGAAGAACAGGTACAGACAAGCAAAACAATCAATGACTTCTGCATATGAAAATATAGTGTTACTATGACTTACATTATAATAGCCAAGGTCTGAAAGTTATTGACAATACTCTTTTTCTACTTAGACTTTTTGATCTCAAGATTTGATCATTTAATCTGGGTTTTTTTTGTCTCACAAGTTTTAAAGCTATGTTTGGCCATAGAAGTCGCTTTTACATGCCATGTATTTAGACTGTACTGTCTTAGCTCATTACAAAAACATGTAAATATCACATCATGGGATGACTCAGAATTTTTTAGATGACTTAATTTAAAGAACTCAGTCAAGATACTTCGACTCCCTCCACAGTACAAACTGCAACTTGATCAATTTTTTGATTCTTAAATTGTCTTTGGAAGATTTCCTTTCTGGATTTTTTTTCTGACATTTTATTGCTTTGGGTTCTGGTTCTGGTCCTTTAAAAAAAAAAAACATTTTCCTCATACACCCACTGAGACATTGCAGAATCTATAGTAGATTCAATGCTGATAAGCGTGTTGGGTTTTGCTTTAGCAGTATAACAAGCAGAAATATCTTCAAACCATGACACTTTCACCCCCATGCTCCAAAGTTGGTATGAGGTAATTTAGCTGGAATATTTTTTTTATTTTTTTTATTTACAAACATGTCACTTTGTCTCCTGGCCAGAATATTTTATTTTAGACTCATCTTTTCAAAAAGCAAAATTCCCTTTGTGTACACCTTCAATGAAAGGTAAACTTTTACATTCTCTGTTTGAGATTTATGTTAGCAGGAGCCTGTTGGTTCTCTAATGGCAATAGGATATATTTAAATACTTCTATTTTCATCTTGTGGCTATGAATCTTTGAATCCATTACCACAATGATAAGCTCTCAAGTTTAAAGTTAGGCTATATAGACTATAAGTTTTATAGCGTTCTTTCTGAATGCTCCAGGTGACTCTTTTTATCTTACCATAGTTAGAACTCTTTCAACAATAAGGGAGACACTGAACTATATGTCAGTGGTTAAAGAAAACAAACTCCTTTAAAATGCTGAGCAGAAATAAAACATACTGCTATTCCAGTGTCTTATCACACAGTGTTGTTTTATGTTACAAAATCATTTTTATTGTAATTTATATTAAGGTACTTTATTCTTTACTCTTGTTTAAATTGATATTAAATATAATTTTGTTTAAAAAAAAACAACAACATTGGCTTTAGTACTAGGACATCCTAATTTTTCTACATGATTGCATGAACAGAGAATGTAAGTATGTAAAATTCAGAGGGTCCTTCATAACAACAACGCATTTAATCAGGAGATGATTTGGAAATGTGGTCTCAAATATATGTAGGCTTGTTAAGACAAAAAAGCAAAAATATTGATCATAATTTATAACAAACCCTTAAGTTCTTTTTTTTTCTCAATAAGCTCTCCACAACAAGCTTTATTTGGCTTTTGTGAAACATCTATGCTATCAGACAACATGTGATGATCTTTGTTATTTTCTTGTATAGTTTTAGTAACTTTTATGGATTTGTTTTGTATGATTGTTTATTTCTTCAGGGAAAACAGCTCCAGATTTTTCCAGTGTCTCTTTAACATTCATTTTATATGGAAAATGCAATTTCTTCCTTATTTATCTCTCATTTTATTTTCTTCCCCATCTTCAATGTTTTTTAATTAATTCTCCCAATAGTAGAGTACTTATTTAAAATTATGAAGCACGTATAAATGTCACATTTTTAAATAAATACAAAAATGAAGACCCAAGTTCTGACTTTTAATTTATTGAATTTCATTTCAAAAGTGATTTAAATGAATAAAATGACCGCTATGTTAAGAGTGAGGGAAGCTGGACAGGGGGTGCAATTTGTTTTCGCTCAGATAGGATATTTAAAACTTTGAGCACGTCATTTGGACCAAACTATTAATAAGAAGTCCCCCCAGTGCACGCCCCCTCCCTTCTCCCAAACTGAACCCCATTACTCCTTTGGACATTTGCCCCAACGCCGTCCGCATGGCAGCTGGACGCATGCGCAGCTCCTAAATGTCCAATATCCCCTAAACGCGCCTGGTGCGCAAACTTGGACGCCGACTGAAAATAATGTTTTTTCCCCTTGGAAGCGAACTTACCACCGAAAAAGAAGTTAAGAAACCGAGTCAGGGTTTTTCCACGTGTTTAGATTAGTCTGAAATACTTTTTTTTTTCTTTCTGTCTTAGTGCTGGAGTCTTAATGGCCAGCTTTGACTGGGAGCTTTGATCCAGTCAGTGACAGCCTGCAAACAGCAGGGAGAGCTGCTGCGAGCGCATCCCGTTTGTTATGAGCGCCTCCGAGCTGTGAGAGAATAATCTGGGAACTCATTCTGTGCTGGAACACTTTTAACGCAGGTATGTTTGTTTACTGATATAATTTTGACTGTCTTATAGATGTAGGCCTTTATGTGTTTTGCACTTCTGTCATTTTTAAAACATGTCAAAAAAAATTATGTGTGAGCTGTGAATCAAGATCTGACAGTCCTGCTGACTATTTTAAAAGTTTCTCAAACAAAATAAGTATTTAATATTAAATTGCTTTTTTATCTATTTATTTTTATTCCATCTTTTAAATAAGACAGCTTCTATAATAGTAAGCAATGTTAAAAACTGTTTAAAACACATTTGTTTCAGGTCATCTCCAAACATTCTTCTGCACTTTAAGTGTTGATGTTTTTCTTCTCAATCCAGGGATTCTTGTTTGTTTTATAGCAGCATGACGCGTGAAAGTCATTCAGAGATTTAAAATCGTTTTTTTTTTTGACAGTTTTTGAACACAGTAGAGAATTCAGTTTAGCTCAGCCTTGATTTAACGACTAGATTATTTCTTTATTCAAATTTTTTATCCAGTTTGTGGGAGACACTTCATTCTTCTACTCCCGCTCGCTCCGCATCCCGTGGCCTTTTCCCTCCTTTCCATTTCTCTCCATCTCTCTTTCATCCCACGTGGAGTTTGTGTTTATATTTGATATGTAGGAAATGGGAATCTTATACCAGCACGACTCCGGCTCTCAGGGCTTGAATGGCCCCTGGCTATTAGCCTGCCTCTAACAACATGACGAGTTAGGTACACGCCGACGCAAAATCTGATAGGGGCCATATTGCGCCGTAATCCGTGCGTGGGGGTTAGATTTCACACTGAGGACTCACACTTAACCAAGGCGCGTTAAAACCTCAAAACAGCACTGATGGTATTTGGTGCGTAAAAGAACATAGGAACTTAAAGGATAAAAATCATGCACATCATCAATAACCTTGTTTTGTTTTTTTGTTTTTTTATTGTTTAATTTTGCCTATTTCTGTAATTATTATTTAGAACAATCAATGCATTTACAATTTTAGATAAGTGTTTTTAATAAATTAAATTAAATTGAATAAAACCACTGGTGTTTTTGAAGTATAATAATAGTTCTAAAAATAAATAAATAAATCATCTGAAGCAAGTGTTTTAAAGCCATTTGGGTAAACTGTTATTTTAGGCCAGCATTTGCGCACGTCTTGTATTTCTGTATTCACCTTACAGTTTTTTTTTTATGAAGGATCCAGATTCGCTCCTGTAAATACAGATACAAGCACATTGTCTATATTTTTTATGTGTCTTAATCTACACTTCTGTCAGATAACAGCGGAGCTTTAAATTTCCATAGTTTTCATTAAACATACCAATAATTAAAATGACAAGTGTAATTTAACTCATAAGCCAACACACACAAAAAAACAATCAAATAAAGACATAATTTCTGTTTATCAAGGTCGGTGTTTGTTTCTTTCTTTTTTCCTTTTTTTTTTATCACACCCCCATTAATCAATTAAGTATCATTCATGCCGATGCGTCATGCAGGGTAAACTAGGGAGGAAAGTTTATTTAAAAAATAAAAATTAAAAATATCGTGTATTTTTGGTTAATTTTTATCTGTAGTATTATTGAAAGTGGATGAATGGGCTACACATATGTAAAAAAAATGTTACATAGTGCTTATCTAAGGAAGAAAATGTCTCTTATGAGACGTTAATAAAGTGTTATGAAAACCTGGTTATTGTTTTTTATAGGTGCGTAAAGGTGGAGTTGATAGGGTACAAGCTGAAATGAATACGCAGCGTTGCTGTCTGTCTGCAAAGCTGCCTTTATGGGGTTTGTTCAACATCGTCCTCCCTTTGGCTTTCAGAGCGTGAAATTAGGCCGCGTGCTGCACTTTCTAACCCTTCACCCCTCCTCCATCTCATGCGTGTCTCTTCTATGTCGCTGTCAATAGCCATAGTAAGGAATATAATTCTCTCTGCTGGGACAATAAAGGAAATAGCGGGTTTATTGATCCCTTGCTTAGAATCAGGTAACCGCCGGGTGGCAGAGCCGGATCAAGATTTTCTGGGGCCCCTGTGCAGACTTTGCTTGAGGCCCCTTTAATCCAATAGATGAAAGCTCGATAAATCATTTTACTTGTACACTGAAAAAAAGAATGCATCCGCTTTTGGCATTGGAAAACATTTCAGGGATATATTGATAGATGAATAAATAATAGTGCAAAGGCTTTTTTTTTTTTTGCTGTGGTTGTTTTGCATTGCCTTAGCTTCTTTTAAACTACTTATAATAAAAAGAATCTCAAAGAGGAAAAAATCATTACCAGCTTATTTTCTTTTCTCTCTACTTAATCACCTGAGTTCAGAGAACCAATCTTAGCTAATTAAATCAAATAAACTGACTGTATAAACTAACAGCACAAGATTTTTCCAACTGTTGAAATATAAAAATATATAAATTAAAAAGAAAAGCCATGAATCTAATAACAGTAATCAGAGGTTACATGGTGGTTGAAGCCTCTGAAGTCAGGCTTAGGCTAGATCTGGTTTGCCAACCAACAATTTATTCAACTTTCTTATTACGCAATGAGTTTCTCTTTTTGATCAAATTGTTGAGTGTGTGCTCTTCAATAAATACATTGCAGTTATTTACTATAAAGACAAGGCTGTTCCTCCACCTGGTTGGTTTCATAGTCATGTCTAGATTACAACAATGCAATCTAAACTCTGCTGAGTCAAGAAAATTAGATCAGTTAGATTAGTATTCTTACAGATTTTTTTTTTCTTTGGGGGGGAATGTTATTTATTTAGTGGTTAATTTGCAGAGCCAATGTGCACAATATGTGGCCTTTGTGACCGTATGTATATTGATAATTTATGACAATGTTTAAAGTAGGCTTTTTTTTATGAGCATTACTAAAAGTTAGAAATTAGATTTTAATTAAAAGTTAGGAGAACAGGAAGTACAGAGAGCTCTCTGCAGCTGCCCAGTTTGCATAGGTTTTGGGCTGGCCATGAATTTAGGAAAATGTAGTTGTTGTGTAAAATGAGCTGATCAGAATTGGTAGTCAGAAGGGACACGTTTATTTTTGCAGATGTCTTTTAGTGAATAGATATTTCATCACTTTGAAATTTAAAAACCAAACAAAATGTCTCTCATAAAACCACAGTCAGCGCTCTTTTTTTACAAGTCTACTTTGCAATCCATTGCCTATGTTCCAAAACAAGAAAGGACGTCAGAAGGAGTGAATATACAAAAAGAAAAGAACTGATTGTGTCCTCCAGAAAGGTGATAAAGGGAAAGAATGACAATGAGAAAGAGCATTATATACATGAGAGATAGAGAGAGAGAGATGGAGGGGCAGCTAGAGGCACTGGCACAAATCAATTCACCTGAGAGACGCATTATTGTCTTCGGTTTCAGGCCGGGAGGAGCTGAGCTCAATGAAAAATTAAAAGGATGCCAGTTAGTATAAAGGATCGAGCAAGTGCACAGACACACGTGCACATAAACCGCATGCACAGGTCTAATTTAATGTTGCTCACTGTCAGTAACTCATATTTTAAACCAAGCTTTTATTAAGCTGCTATTTCAGAAGTTGCAGTGTTGAAGGGTAACTGGAAACCTTATCCACCTTCTGGTAATAAGGCAACACACATACACACATGAACAAAAACATTTACTCTTTCACAATATATTATGTGTTTTTACAAATACCTGTGTAGAAAGAAAGTAATCCTACCCGCTGTAGTTTTTCTCATTTTATTACTTTGCAAGAAAAACGTCAATGTTTTTCCTCAGGATAAAAATATTGCATATGATTGAAAAACACTACTAACTGCCTTTGGGAATCATATTATTAGTATACTATAGACTCCACTCATGTGTAATTGAATCTCTGCATAAATCTAGCACTTCTGTGAGGGCCTCAGATGTTTGTGAGAAAACACTTGTGAACAAACACCATGAGAAACGAGGATCACAGTAGAGCAGCTATAGAATGGCCCGTCCATTTTCTTAGCCAAAATATTTTGTCATGTAAGATTAACGACAAATCTTGAGGAGTATCAGAAATAATTCGGGGAAGCAGTGCAGTTTAACTGCTGCTTTTACCACAGACCAATATTCAGCCGTTAGCATTTCTTCTGCTGTCTCTTGTCTTTTATCCGGTTATTCCTCTTTTCAGCATTTGGGAATAATAATATGCATACTAATTCTATAACATGCTGTTTCTTTATGATCCTCTGTTGGAGTGGTTTGACATTATCCAAGACGGGAGAAGATGTGAAGTGTGGTCTTCAGTGGTGCTGTGTAACAGTAGTTACTATCATTATGGAGCTTTTGGCTGTATATTTTTACCTCTTCTTCATAATTATGCTCTATTTTGTTTTGCATTAAAACATGAAATAAACCCCTAAAAAAGAAGTTCTAACATTTACAAAAGGGAAATATTCAAAGGGCTTGAAAACTTTTTTGAGGCATTGTAAATTATTCTTGCTAAAAGATTAAATATGATAGGTTTTCATGGAGAACTTAACCTATAAGCAGTTTACAGGTAGTCCCTACTGAATTACTGGGAAGCACAGGTCTATTGACACGAAAGGACTCTTTGTGTGTGAGAGTGTGAGTCTTTTCAGCCAACTCTTTTGTTCAGTTGTCCAACTTTTCTGACGCCCTTTGCACAATAAACCGGAGACAAAGCGTTCTGTTCTCTTCTTCCTGGGATGTTGGCATTGTTGTCTATTATTGTTATCAACTGCCCTTTTGTTGCAGTGTCACTTTTTATGCCTCAGCAGAAACAGAGCTATAAGGGGTAAAATGGAATGATTCGAGCATCGTCTCTCACCTTAAGTTGTCGATAATCTGCCACCACCCTCCTTTGCTTCACTATTCTGCCCCGTCTAGTATTAACAGGGTCATTCACTTTCTTCGGGTGCCATAGCCTGTCACTGTGTTCCAGGGACCAGCCGTGCAGCCATATCATTTACGCTTCTCTGTTTTCATTGTTGATATTTACTTCTGCAATTATCGCTCCACTTCACCCTCAGCCAAAGATGATATGCTGAAGTTAACATGGGTGCTTCCCTACTTTTGTCTTCTGTTGCTCAAACATATAAATCTGAACATATGCAAACATAGGATCCTACTGACAGATGACAAACAAACTCTTTGAAGTTTTAACAGCAGCAACGCTTCTGGAAACTGTTCACACACTCTAAAATGAAATGCAGCACCAACTGCTTCAGTTGGTTACAAGTAATTTAATTGTTTGTCCAACTTAATTTCAAGGTATAAACTTTAAACATTAAGTTGGATCAACTGTCAGTTGAGGTCAGGGCTCTCATCCATGTCTATATGGACCTTGGTTTGTGTACTGGTCTACAGTGAGCTTTGAGGAGTAAAAAGCCAACTCTAAAGTGTTCCCAAAAATGTTCAAATTTAACGTTGTGGGAAGATTCAATATTTTGGTTTTCTGAAACAGGAAGAGTTCCTTTCACCGGAACTAAGGAGCCAAGCCCAGGGTGTGAAAAAATAACTTCTAAGCTCCGTCTGCTTCCTCCAAACCTTACACTTGGCACTAACCAGTCAGACTGGTAGAGGAATCAGTGTTGGTTATCAGACTCATGTGTCTGCCAGCACAGGGCACTATAAAATAAATGTTGGACTTAAATGTTCAAAAACTAGATCAAAGGTCACTGGTATTGAATGTTTCAATCACAAAATGATTTCACATTGCTGTGTGCTGGCTCAGATCTGATAAGTGTGAAGACCAACACCAATCTCCAGATCCCTAGACCAGACTCATCTGTCAGATTGGAGAAGTGCAATTCCTCTAGAGTACAGTAGAGGCAGTAAGTTTAGGCCATATACGTAGATAGGAACTCCATGGCAACTGACTCTGAGGAGAAAAACATCAATGTCCTCAGAAAAACAGCAGCTATTTAGGTTAATTGTCTCATTACACTGGCCACAAGTGGATAAAAGTAAAACTTGATTGTATCATGTTACCTAAACCATTTAAATTGTTCTTGTCTCTCTTGTTTTTCAAGCGGGTGGCAAATCATAGCCAGAAAAGCCATGGAGGGCTCACAGGACCTCAGCGAACAGATGGTGAGTTAAAGGCTACTGTATGCAAGCAGGTCTGTGGGTGACTGAGTTTACCTCGCATCAGCCACACAGCTGTGTGGTATGGTGCATGATACTGTATGTGTCCATTCGTGTGTGTCTCCATGTGTGCGCTAACCCATGACAGATGTGGTACAAGTCCAGTAACCATATGGTGGCAGTAAGAATTTTTGCAACTTCAGCTAAATTGAAGCTGATACGTCAAATCACCCCACAACATTTTCAAGATGCAAATAAAACTATGGTTCATATATATATATATTCATTATTCTATATTCATGTACATTCATAATCAATTAAGAATTAAAGAAGCTTGCAAACCTTTAGCCATATAGTAATTTAAACAAAAGTTTCTTTTACTTCAATTGAAAACATTTATAAGGGAATTGGGAAACTATTGTAATCAAGAAAAAAAATCTGGTTTGAACTGTACTTTGTTTTAAAGAAATTAAATTTAAGTAATTTTATTTCAGGGGAAGATTTAGTTAAAGAAAACTTTTGTTCTTTTGGTTGCATAGAAAGTCAGCTTCAACTCTAACAGCGTTGCTGTCGGCCTCTATTGGTACTGAATTTTTGCAGGCTTTTCACTTTGGATTTTGAATCGTGAAACACTGTAATAGACAGGGACTGGTGAAGCACAGTGCATCCAAGCTCTGGGCAAAAAAATTAAAATAAGCAAAGATCTATCAAGGAATCTTTAATGGATAAAGGTAGCAGAGAAGTAGACATTGGTTACAACTGAATGACAACCTCATCAGGCTTCCTGTTCACTTAGCTGGCCTAAAGTTTTTTTTTTTTTTTTCTGTATCTCATGTCTCTTAACTGATGCAGACAGCTCTGCTCATCGCTTAGTTGCGATCGAGTCAAAAACAAGGTTCTGATCAACCGAACCAAAACAAGGCGTCTGGCAATTATAAAAATATATAAAAAGATTACATTATTTTTTTACTACATTTTTTCTCACTAGAGAGAGAAAAAGGTTTTTTCTTGCCTAAAAGAGTGATGCTACCAAATAATCATGGTCCAATACGTAGGCTATTTGGATTTAAAAGTCCCTCTATTACTTTTTCCTTTTGCTTTGGTCAGCAAGAAATAAAAAATATTTTTCAATTACTGAAATAATCTCTTTTTTTTACATGTACAAGTGAAATAAAAGTCAAAAGTGTAGAATTGATGGGGGATTTTTTTTTTTATGAATAAAATAGAATAAGGAGCATTCCCAATGCATGGATACATAAATCATGCAGCAATATAAAGATATAATATAAGCCCTTGGAAACAGTCAGTGTTGATCTTAATACTTTACTCAATGAGTCTGTATGATCTAGTGAACTGTAAAGTGCCTTGAGATTACATTAAAATCGCAACTCCAATGTTTAAATCACTTTGAAGTTTTTTAATGTTTAGGCCCCCACATTATCAAATTACTTCTTAATGGATTGATTATCCATCGAGAATATTCAAATGGTAACTGGTAGCAGTTTAAATCAACAAAAACAAATAGTTTTTCTCTTTGATAAAATGTCCTTAAAAGTAAAAATTAATCTAATGGAAATAAATCATGTAAAAGAGATATTCAGAAAATACAAGGAGGCACCTAGATTCACTTGAACTGACGCGCAGAGTCGATGCAGCGTCCTAGTTCTGCTTGTTTAAAGATCAGGCTGTATTGTTGGGAAAATGATTTTGGCGACGAACGAAGGCCACTCACATTTCAAAGTCGTTAGTCAGCCACCAGAACAGGTGTAATTTCATCTCCTTCTCCTCCTCCTCCATCAAGCCTCGTTCTCTCTCTCTCTCTCCCTCCAACCTGCCAGCCTCAACAGTAATAATGCTGTGAAGTGGGACAGAGCGCATGAAGTATGGTGTTTTTCCCCTACTTTTTTCCTCTGTGTGTGTCTCGTCAGACTCACTCTGGGTTGGGTTACGGGTTAACCCCAGTGGAGCATATGTCCGTCACGCATACAGTACATGCACACGAAGGAAGGAAAGAAAGAAAGAAAGAAAGAAAGAAAGAAAGAAAGAAAGAAAGAAAGAAAGAAAGAAAGAAAGAAAGAAAGAAAGAAAGAATCTTGACTCACTGGTATTCAGATATAAAATATTGATGTCTATATTCCACCCCCCCCATTAACTCACCTGCTTTAAATAGGACTGTGATATCATTTATAATGTGAATCTGAGCTGCAGCTCAAAGACATTGATTAATTGTTCAGGTTGGTAATAAGATCGCAGAGCAAGGACAGCGATTTTAATCACCCACACCCACAGAGTCTCATATAAATTCAATTTCTGGCTCATTTTGATAGCATCTAGATCAGGGGTCACCAAGGCGGGGCCCTCGAGAGCTACATGGGTGGCCCTCAGCGTCCTTCTGAAAACAGAACAACTCACCAATGGGCTAAGTATGAAATGTTATTTTATTCAGTTGCTCCCCATTTTTAGGTATTTATAAAGATTTCAAATTGTCAATATTTAAAAAAAATAGTAATAAAGAAACAATAAAAACTATTTACTATGTATGAAACCTAGATTAACGCTGATAGGTTATAGGTCAGTATTGGTAGCTCTTCCTGTGACTCAGTACCCATCATGTGCTGTCGGCTTTAAAAAGGTTGGTGGTCCCTGATCTCGATTCTTCAAAGGAGGATTGTTTGTAATTCAGGTGACAATGGTGTAATTTCAAAAATTGCAACAAAATTTACTTTGTTGACTGTAAATTAGTAGTCAAATAATCTTAATACCTTTTCAAAACACAAAAAGCAACATTCTATTTCATTTAGGCCCATAGATGTTGATCTTAACAAGTTAGAAAGGACCGTGCCTCATCCTTTGAGATCAGTCCCCAGAAATAAACCTTGAAAATCAAGGTAAGGCAAGGAATAATGAGAGATTACCTAAAGAAACCTCTTTATTATTAATTTTCTGCAAAAAATATTTATTTATTTATAGATTTTTTCAGATTTCTAAAGGGCAGCATTAAATCCAGCTGGAAAGCAAACTAAATATATCCTTAATGGTATGCCTTTTATAAAACTAAATGTAGCTTCGGGCAAGGTTTGAAATGTTTATATGTGTTGCACGAAATAATTTCTGATAGCCCGTCATTTGAAATATGATTGGCCCAGTTTTACACTTTCATTTCAGGACATATCTAACATTCCTGGGACCCCTGTACTCAATGTCTAGTCCTGGAGGTTCTAGGTATTCCTTGAGTTTCAATTAAACAGCTTTATTTTCTTTTCTCCAGTGGTTGACCTTTATTTTGTAGTAGAAGTTGTAGTTTTAGTCTTTTTGTTTTGGTTTTTGCCTCATTCATACTCAAAGTTGTTTTGCACTAAAAGGGAGAGCATCCTTATTTTAGTGACTCTTCATTTAGCTCATGGGACATTGCATTAACTTGATCAGTAGACTTATTTTATTTAAGCTGAATCTGCTTGTCACCCCTGCAATCATTTGGGGACTGCTCCTTATATCGCTGCACATCTATGCGGTCTCAGTGACTGCAACTTTAATTCATCACAGTAACCAAGGAATACACAGGACAAGAATCCATGCATTCTTACACTATGTATTCATAAAATAACCTAAAACACAATAATGTAGTAAATATACTAAATAAATAAATAGCAGTTCCTTGCAATAGCTTTATTTTATTTCCATGCTTGCTTCAGCTTTTGAAAAATTAAACTGTAAGTGACTAGTTCTTTCCCACTCTGCTTCATTGAAATAGGCGTGTCTAGGGTGACAAAGAAAACACAGAGGACCTCACATACACCGTTTTTGGGGAGTTGTCCACTGACACCTGATAGTCCCGCTCCGCTTTTTCTACCCTTTAAAGTACCCCGTTCGTCTCTTCCTCTGCTCCGCCCTTCTCCAACCACATCCATCGCACGTCATCTGTGTTATGGTCAGGCGTCCTCTCTGGCCGCCTGCCTGCCGGATCTGCTTGCCATCTGGGGTCCTTGGGGAAGAATTGCAGGGGCTTGGGGGCAGAACCAGCAGCGTTTAGCTCTTTAATGCTACTTTTAGCTTGTTTAAGTGTCTCTCTCCACCTGTTGCCACATGTTTCCTCAGCTTTAGAGAAAGGATGTTATTTAGAGGGATGCTGCAGGAGATTGTAAACTTATGTTTTTGAGTTGTGTGCATTTTGTTTAATTCAATACATAACCCTGAATGAAATATTTGGTGTGATGATGCAAAAATAAAAAAATGGCACAAACTTTATAATATTTCCGAATTCCTTTTGGGATCAATTTAAAAGATACTGACTCCTTTAGAAAAGATTAAATAACCTCTTGATGCTTTTTTTTTTCTTTCTCTGGTGCGCTGCGAGAGGCACTGTGGCAGCTGTCCTATTCTATGTAAGAGTATGTGAGACAGACAGACCAGTAGGAGAAGGAAAGGGGGTCAGGTTGCACCCCTCTTTCACCCCTACAACCCCATACAGACACACTGACACAAAACGTACATGCAGCAGCAGGTCAGCATGAGCATGACCAAATCCGATAGCTAAGATCGCCCTGGCATGCCGTCTCAAAAACTGCCCTGCAACAAGGCATGTGGACAGATCCCAGAGGTGTGGAGTGTAATAGCTACTTCATGGCATCCCGCTAGTGGGTTGGCATCCAGGCTGTGGCACCGTAGTCCACTTCAGTTTCATTTCAGTGTCAGTGATTCCTATAAGATTAATGTTCAGCTGACAGCTGGGTGCTGCTGTGAGAGTCGTCTCCTGAAACAGGACAAGAAATATTCACTATATGTGTTATTTAAAAGAAAGGCAATTTTTATACAGGTCTTACTGGCTAATGGTAAAAAAAAAAAACTTGTAGACGATTATTTAAAAAATAGTATAAGGTAAGCAATGCAGAAAGATTTTACAACATATTTTGTTACAATTACAGTAATAAAATAAACTGAAATAATGTACTAGTAGCCAAGGGAACAAAATTCAAGCTGTAGTAATGTGCTGTCTCTTTATGGGTTGG